TCCCTGCTTCTGTATACATGTGATTTGGAGGTAGGAAGTAACTGAACCTCCCAGCCTTATGCCAGATGTACTGGTTACTTGACCTATAGTCTCTTTTCTCTAAAGTGAGTCTTACTTTTACCATTTTATACTATCAGTTCAGAGGATGCCCTCAGCACAGAGCATCCCCACTGTAGGAGCATCCCCACTGTAAGATCACAGTCTTATTTCAAAACTTTTCTTTTTCCTTTTTATCTTTCTGGAATGGTCTCTGCCCTTTCTTATCACCAAAATTGATTGTGAAGTTAGTCCTGTTTCCCCAGAGTGACTTACTCTGTCCTTAATTGATCTCAAATCAGGATTTTGGCCATCAGAGGTCATCATAATTTTTCAGAAAATGGGCTGAGGATAGAAACAGCCAATGAGGGTTTGTCACCAAGCTTCCCCGGTTCTAATTTCTACAATGAAATCCCTTGTTTTTGGAGCTGGGGAACTAAGAATATTTTCTTTGAATTATTCAGAAGTTAAGATTCATCAGTCTTTCTACTCCTACAGTCTTCTCTCCTGACCTACCTGGGTGCAGATTGAGTTGCTCGCCTTCAGGTACCTTCTATATCAGCTCCTGTGTGCTTCAGGATGCTTCCTCCAGTCATCTGGTCCTTGCTCATTTAAGCTTTGTCAGGCATTGCCTCTTGGTTGCCATTAAGCATGTTGTTATACTGTGATTGCTAACTTGGTCTAACATCTTTAGTGTTTAGTGGATTCCAGTATTTTACGCCAGCAGAAAAAAAAAATGATTATTAGTGCAATCTGTGGGACCTCACATACTTGGAACCTGACCCCAGCTCTACTATGGTGTAGCCATGTGACCTTAGGGAAGTTTCTTTCCTTCTATGAACTGCAGTTTCCTCTTAATAAAATGGGGATAATACAAATACTGCTGCTCAGAGAATGTGATAATAAATATGAAATGTCAAACATATTCTTAAGGCATCCATGGCTAAATGTGAAAGCCTTCTTGTTTTTGTTTTGGGGTTTAGCTTTGTGAGACAGTCTCTCGTGCTGTAGCCCAGGATGCCTTAGGATTCACTGTGTAGCCTAGGTAGACTCATACTCTCAGGGAGTCTTTTGCCTCAGCATGAGCCATCACATTTGGATAAATAGAAACTATTAATTTCACAAATACATGTTTAGATTGGGGATCACTAGGGATAGAAGGGTAGCCTTTGAGCTCTACTGTTCTCATCTGGAAGGCAAGCTCTTCACATAATAAAGTTTCTGTTCTTGACTCTAATTTCATTCATGGATATTTAGAGGAAAAGGGAGGATTTTTTTTTGTTTCTTGCTTTTTTGCCTAGACTCTTACAAAACTGAATTTCAGCAATCCTCCTGTCTCAGCTTTGAGTTGAAGAGATTGCCACTGTGGTCAGGTAGGGAAAAAAAAAACAACAGAGTTGTTTTTCTTTTTTAAAGTTAGGGGTGTGTCAAGGAGTATTTTAAGAGATTCATATAAGGTCCCTCACAGAAGGGGAAAGGGACAAGCTCTCCAGAGCATATAGGGAGTGGGGGGCAGTGAATGGAGAGAAAAGGGGAGGAGAGGAAAGCACGTGGGACTAGGAAGATTGAGAGTCAGGGAAGGAATAAATGAGGAGGGAGAGAGAGAGAGAGAGAGAGAGAGAGAGAGAGAGAGAGAGAGAGAGAGAGAGAGAGAGAAAGAGAGAGCATAAAAGAGGGAGCCATTTAGGTTTGAAGAGAAAACAGACCTAGAGAAATGTCCAGAGACCTATAAGACTGACCCCAACTAACAATTTGAGCTTCTGTGGAAAGGTTACCATACATGCCCTTCCCTGATAATGAGATCAACAACTAACTTACCCACCATCATGGAGCCCTCACCTAGTAGCTGATGGAAACAGAAGTGGACACCCACAACTAAACACTGAGCTGAACTGGAATCCAGATGCAGAGAGGGAGGACCAGGCTGCAGAATCACATAGAGACAGCTGACCTGAACAAGGAGAAGCTAACAGGCCCCCAGACTGATAGCTGGGGATCCAACATGGGAGTGACTCAGGCCCCCTGAACATGGGTTTCAGCTAGAAGGCCTGGACAGTCTAAGGGACCATGGACAGTGGAACCAGGATGTATTCCTGGTGCACAAAAGGACCTTGTGGACACATCCCCATGGAGAGATACTCCCTTAACCTAGAGGCTGGAGTGAGGGCCTAGTCCCTACTCCAAATGACCTGACAGATTTAGATGACCCCCTCCTGGAATGCATCACTCTACATGTGGAGTGGGGGGGATGGGAGGGGAGGGTGGTGGTGGGGGGACATGAGAGGGTGCGAGAGAGAGGGAGGGAGAGGGAACTGGGGTCGATATGTAAAATAAAGATAAAAAAAATTATAAAAAATGTTAGGTGTATGTGTGCAAGCTTGCATGAGTATATGTGCACTAACCACATGCATGCAGTTATCCTCAGAGACTAGAAGAACGTGTTGGATCCCCTGGAACTACTGCAGGTGTGAGCCAGCATGTGGGTGCTGGACACAGAACCTGGGTCCTGGGCAAGAGCAGTAAATGCTCTTTAACTGTTGAGCCACCTTTCAAGCCTGAAAATAAAAGAGGTTTTTGAAGCTAGAACAAGCACGATGACTTTTAAAATTTTATTTTTATGTTTGTATGTGCTTTGTATGCATGCATGCATGCATGTGTACCATATGTGTGCTTGGTGCCCTTGGAGGTCAGAAGAGGGTGTCTGATCTCTTGAAACTGGAGTTACAGATGGTTGTGAACTGAATCTCGATCCTCTGCAAGAGCAAGTACTCCTAACCACTGAGGCATCTTTCCAGTCCTGCAAAAACACTTCTTGTTAGACATGGCTTTGAACTAGATTTCCAGGTTTATATTCCATTAGGCTTGACCAAAATATTTATCTTTTTGGCCTGACTTTGCTCCCTTTATTCTAGAGTAATCTTGAGAGCCTTTCCCCATTGATTTTATTGGACCTTGGATTATATTAGCTGTGCTGTAATGGACTAAGATTCTGATTGTGTGTTTCATTGTAGGTCTGTGTAAACTGGAGAAAGTCTGACCTTCCTGCTCGAGAAAAAGCAATGGTAGAATTTGCACTTGCTGTTTCCCAAGCTGAGGACATAACAGATGACCATTTCAAAAAGCTTGAAATGCATGGCTTCAGTAGAGAAGATGCCTGGGACATAGCTACCATTACAGCTTTCTATGCTATGGCCAACCGCCTTGTTCATTTTATTGACATCATTCCTAACAAGGGATACTACTCATTGGGCAGAAACAATGATACTAAACAGATAAAGAATGAACTTACTGCTCCAAAAGTGTAAAAGCCTGACAGGAAAGGCCAGTATTTATCATTTCAGTTAGGTTGTATTAGAAGACAGCAGTTGGATAGCAACTAAAAATAAATACAAAAACATCTAGTTATTGGCTAGAAAAAAAAATTGTCCCCTACCTGCCTGATGAAGTCCCTGCTTGTCCAGGGATGTGTTATACTTGGGGCTTAGGGACACAGTTCAGAAAACCTTTGTTGATAATTTAATTCCTTTGTAATCCAAAAGGACTAAGGCAAAGAAATTCTGGTGATGCTTTAAATGTGAGTAGACATCTAATTAAATTTTGGCTGCTAAAGTTGAAATTTTTTTAGGTTTCCACAAGATATTACTTAGAAATTGGTTAATATAGACTGATTTGAAGTCAATTCCTTATTAACATGGTTATATGTATAGATTCTCAAAGGTAGGGACAATAGGAACAATCATAACTAAATTTTAGTTCTATTTTTAGTGCTGTCTTAACTTTTTTACTGATGTCATAGTTTATATATTATTTATATATTATATAGTTTATATAATATGCTCTTATTTTAGATCTTAGTAAAAAATATTTGGAATAAATGAGTATTCACATATTAAATACAAATGTTTGAAAAACCAGGCATTACTAAATTACTTATTCTCTGTGTTACCACTATTGCCTTAATTTCTATCAGTGTTTTGTCTTGTCTTCCCTACAGTACTAGGGGTTACAGTCAGGGCTACACACATTCTAGGCAAGTTTACCACCACTGAACCATCGCCTCAGCCCAGTGAACAGCTCTTAAATGGCTTTGGGACCTTGGTATGTTTTTCATGTTGAAAATGTGAAATCTGATTATCTGGAGTCAATGCAAACTAAATGAAGACTTACAGATTTTCTGATTTTCTGTCGAAAGTTCAAACATTGAATATCTAATTACCATCCTCCAGACATCTTGCAGGTCTATCTTCACAGGCTAGATCATCCTCCAGGTTTACCATTACAGTCACCAAATGTGAACCTTCTACAGCACTGCCTTTAACAAAACCTACACAATCTGTCAGTTCTTATTTCTATCTGCTGTTCCTCTTACCTCAAGCTCTCCTCTTTGAGGACTAAGATTCCCTGCACTGAAAACTTCATTCCCGGTTAATGCTCTCCGTGAAAACAGGTTTATTCCTCACTGCAGCAGCAGTGAGAAAGGCCTATGCTTGGGAGCCCTTCGTGCAATGCTTAGAAGATGTAGTGTGAGCAAGACTGACAGTAGGCTCTTGCTTTGTGGGATGGAATTGATTCAGTGCTCTAGCTCCCCTCAGTTACTCCAAGCTGCATGTACATTCTTTTTTGCAGGGAAGAGAAGGCGGCTCTGACATTGATAAAGATTTACCTGGTTGTGCAGTAGCCGAGATTTGGGCAGATATTTATGGCAATCATAGGTCCCTTTATTCTAGGCACTGTACAGTCCAGTGCTGTTTACGTGCGAATGTTCTTTAATCTTTAGACTTATGGTGTGACCTACATATAATAGAGTAATACACCCACCCCCTTCACCCCGCCTAATCTCGGTGTAAGGACAACAGGAGGCAATCCTGGCTGACAAGGCACACGGCCAGTCAGTGCTCACTGACAGCTGCGGGCCGACTCTCAGCTGCTTGTAGCTGGTCATGTGCGTCCGACATTGCTCACAGAGGGCTACTGACTCCTGACCTCACAGACCTCTTGGGCTGCGGCGCTCCCTACTCGGCGGTGTCCCTGCTTTTAAGTCCCCGACGGAGGGCAGCCTAGCGGTGACGCGGGTTTCCCAGCCGGCGGGTTTAGGACGCAGCACCCGGAAGTGGCGGCTGGAGCGGGAGCGCTGAGTTGTCGGGCGGCGGGACAGCGGCCCGGAATAGGGGGCGGGGGCGTTGGTCATGTTTCCCTTCGGGCCCCACAGCCCGGGCGGGGACGGGGCGTCTGGAGCTGAGGAGCCGCCGCCTCTCGGAGGGCCGGCGGCAGCTTCCAGACCGCCCTCTCCAGCTCCGCGGCCGGCGCCTCCACAGCAGGGAGCTGACGCGGCCCCTCCCCCGCCGGCAGCCCGGAGCCCTCGCCTCCCGGGCGGCCCCGCACTGTCTCCGGCCGAGTGCGCCGGAGAGCTCGCGGCCCCCGGAGCTCTGGAGTTGTCCGCTGCGGCAGCGCAGACAGAGCTGTCACCGTCCTCCTCGCCGCGCAGGCGCTCGAGGCCAGACTGCAGGGCAGGCAACCGGAGCCGGCAGGGCCTCAGCGCGGGCCTCAGCGGCCCTGGCGCCAGGCTGTTCGGGTGGCTGAGAGAGCGAAGCCTCGGCCGCGGGCTGTTCGTGGACCCGGCGCGGGACAATTTCCGCACGATGACTAACCTGTATGGTTCCATCCACCCCGCTGACTCCGTGTACCTCAGCACCCGCACCCACGGAGCTGTCTTCAACCTCGAGTATTCGCCCGACGGGTAAGCGCCTGCGCCTCAGCTGGCTCCCTCGGTTCTGGTGGGCTTGCGGCCGCTGACCTTCGTGCCCCTGGTACTTTCAGAAGCACATTGTCGCCTACGAGCCCAGTGCTGGCTTCCGAGGTAGGCAGGCGCAGTGCTTCCCTTCGGGGTCCTGGAGGCTCGGTCAAAGAGAGATGCCTTAAGACATCGCTGCACGTCTGTCAGAGTCGGTCCACAAGTAGGACTTTCTGCTACACAGTAGGTGCTCAGTAAATGTCTTTTAAATAAATGCCTAGCATTTCGCTGTTTTCCTCGGTTGACCTTTCTCTGAGCTGAGCTTGTGTTTAAGTGTTCAAGGTAGGAAGCTTGCAGAATCTTGGGACCTTGTGCCAGATCCTGCCATGAGGAGACGATTGGAAACTCTAGAAAGGTACTAAGACACTGCAGCAATACGTTTCTCGGTATTTGCACCATTTGTGGGATAAACTAATTCTTGGATTAAGGAGATCCAGCTTTTTTTTTTTTTTTTTTTTTTTTTTTGACTGACATTTGTTTGCTCTTGGTTTACTTCAAGCTATAAGAAAATTTCAAAAACTAACCGGGATCTATTTAATACTTTATATCTTGTGAGTGCACAAGTTCAACGACAAGCAGAGGAAAAACACTGCTCATGATCTTACCTCAAATGACATAATTAATAGCAGTCTTATCACATCGGACCTCTGGGTTACTAGTCTTTGCTTCGTTAATGCATTCATTCATTCAATCCCTTATTAACCAGATGTTCCTGGAACACTTGATAGGTTGCAAATGCATGGATAACATTGGTTCATAAAACTAGTTAATGACATTCCTTTTACCGAGCCTGAGCTGTATTAGTTAAGTGAATGTGAGATTCCGAGTAATGCACAGTGTACACCTACAAACTGAGATAAAGGTGCAAAGCCCATTGAGCTCGGTTACTATGAAAAAGTGACACCTAGATCCAAGGTCAGAAAAAAATTGCAGGATATAAATGAATCAAACTGCTGGGTAAAGAATAGAAGTAGTTTATAAGACTATGAACTCATGCTGAAGGGCCACATTAGAATATAATGTTAGAGGAAATGAAAATAATGAAACAAAAAAAAATTCAAGGGAGAAAGACCTAGAATATGCTGAGGAAGAAGCATGGGAACACAGTTACTGAGCAAGTAAAAGCTGTTGTAGCTCATTGACTAAAATGCTTTTTCCTGCCTGGTACTAGGATCTCTAGGGTTTTTCGTTATAGTACTTGCCTGGAGTTTTGTCAGTGGGTGCATACCTGAATTGAGAAGAAAACTGATGAGAAGAAAACTTTAGTTAGCTGAAGCTTATTCATGGAAACTTCTTCCTTTATATACTATTCTTGAAGTGTTCTCCTCTCCCCCAAATACTGCCCGTGCTTCTCTTTTCTGTAGCCCAACCCCTTTTACCAAACCCTATATTTTCAGGACTTAAGAAGTAGTTGTATTACTGGGTGTGGTGGGGTACACCTGTAATCCCAGCACTCAGGAGGCAGAGGCAGGTGGATCCCTGTGAGTCTGAGGATAGCCAGGGCTACACAGAGAAATCCTGTCTTGAAATCCCCCCCCCCCAAAGTATTAGTTGTGCCTATTCTTTGGAGGTACAATTTTTTAAATAGGAAATGGTGATTCTAGAATTATGAAAAATTTAATTCAAATTGCCAGAGCTGTTAGAATGAGGGATATATTACATATAGTTCTTATTTGAATATGGACTACATTCTTCCAGGGAAATTTATTTATTTATCTGTTCATCTATCTGTCTAAATATCTATCTATCTTTCTATCCAGTCTCTCATGGTAGTACTGGTTGCCATGATACTCACTATGTAGACCAAGCAGGCCTTGAAGTCACAGAGATCCACTCCCTCTGCCTTCCAAGTGCTAGCACTAAAGGAATCACATATTCATATAGGTTTCTGTGCATTCTGTGACTTGCATGTGGAGGCACTTGTATGGAGGTCAGAAGACAACTTGTAGCAGTCATTCTTTTTCTTCCACCATGTGGGTCCAGGGATGGACCTCAGGTCCCAGCCTTGGTGGTAAGTGTTTCTACCCACACAGCTATCTCTCCAGCCCCAGAAGCATTTTTAAAAAGTAGTTATTCTGGTACTCAGCCCAGGAAGTGGTCAGCAAGTTAGAGTACTTGTTTTGCAAGCCTGGTGATCTGAGTTCTGATCCCTGGAAAGTAAAAGGAGAGAAAAAGTTGTTTTCTGTCCTGCACATGTACCTCTCTCTCTCTCTCTCTCTCTCTTTCTCTAATAACTTAACTTTAATAAGTATTATTACAATTTCAAGAAAGCAAAGAATAAATAATTCCCTTCCCTAGTAGAGGAAAAAGGTATGTAACAAGGAAGAAGATTACAAAAAGAAGGTAAGATGTGACTCAGTGGGTAAAATGCATGCTGCGCAAACATGAGAACCTAATTTTTTCAGCCCTAGCACCCATTTAGAGGCTAGATGTGGTGTCTCACATCTCTAACCCAGCACCTTGTAGAAAGAGAGAGGCTGATCCCTGAGCTCACTAGCCACCCATTGTAGGTCAAACAGTGAACTCCATGTTCAGTGAGAAACTCTGACTCAAAAAAGTAGAAAGGCTGAAGAAATGGCTCAGTAGTTAAGTGTACCTGCTGGTCTTGCAGAGGACCTGAGTCCCACCACCCACAAGGCAGCTCACAACTCTCTGTAACTCCAATTCCAGGAGATCCATCATGTACATATGTGGTACATAGTCATACATACAGGCAAAACACACACTTAGAAAGTACATCTTTAAAAATTAATAATATAGAGAGCAATAGAGGAAGACAATAGCAGCTTCTGATCTACACATATACACATGCAAGCTTATTCATGGTATGAACAGACATGAAAAAGTTAAAAAAAAAAAAAAAACCAAACCAGTTAACCATTTGGCTAGCATGTGGATTTAATCCCAGTACCCTCCCACATGATGAAGTATGAAGTATAATAGATAAAAAGCAAAAAGAATGGCTGAAAATAAATCCAAATTTATTACTAAGTGTAATAAATATAAATGTTCTAATGAAAAAGCAAAAAAAAAAAAAAAAAAAAAAAAAAAAAAAGCAAAGAACAAAACAGTTCCAACTACCAGGAGTCTGAGGGCAGGAGGGCCAGGAGGACCAATTGGGCCCATTAGTTTGAAACAGGTTTCGATAATATACCAAGACCCTATTTCAAAGGGATGGGCAAAGATTACTGGATTACAAGGGGAAATAATTAAAAAGGTATAGAAATATATATATACATATTTCTAAAACAACTGGTAGACTATATTAAAAGGAGAATAAAATAGATTTGAAGGAAAAAAATTACTAAAGTGACTGAGTTATAATGGTGAGAACTCAGCTCTATCTAGAAGCTTGAATGGGTATTTACATAAAGATTAAACAAGTACTAGATTTAAAATATAAACATCAGGCTAGGAAAATGGTTCAGAGGTTAAGAGCGCTGACTGATCTTCCAGAAGTCCTAAGATCAATTCTCAGCAACCACATAGTGGCTCACAACTATCTGTAATGAGATCTGGTACTTAATATTATATTTATTTTATGTATATGGTACTCTATCTGCATGCCAGAAGAGGACATCAGAACTCATTATAGATGGCTATGAGCCATTATGTGGTTGGTGGCAATTGAACTCAGGACCTCTAGAAGAGCTGCCAATGCTCTTAACCACTGAACCATCTCTCCCCCCAAAAAAACTTTTTTTTATATGTGTGTGAAGTATTTTGTTGTTTTAAGATAGATATTTACTATTTGGCTGAGGCTAGACATGATCTCACTATGTATTCCAGGCTGGATTTGAATTTTGGGTAATCCACCTGCTTCAACTTCCTGAGTGCTGGAATTACAAGTATGCACCACCATGCTTAGCTTCCAAAATGTATTTAAATGAAAAAAGTTATAAAAAAATGTGTATGAGAAAATTCAGGATAAAGGAGATAAAAACCAAATTATGCATTTCTTCATCAGTTTCTATAAATGTGCTGAAAGGGTGCTGGCTTATATACTACCAAGTTCATTAGATAAAATCAGACATACAACTTTCTTTTATATATAGCTTTTTAGTTTTGTCTCATCTTTCATGCAAAGCCAACTTTTCATAACTGCAAGTCCACAGACTCCAAGCACCTCGTAGCCCAGCTTGTGGAAGTCCTCAATGTGGTTGCTAAAAGTGATGATCTCCATGGGTCATAGGAAATTGAAGTCCAGCAGTAGAAAAAGAGGACCCTGTACTTCCTTCTCTCTATAGTCCAAAAAACTTGACTTCACTGAAGGTACACCACCATGGGTCTGTGAAGTCAAGGGCCGACTTCCCGATATGCGACGTGTTCCTGGAGGCCATGACTGCATGAGTTGGACATGCAGACTACCAGACATGACAGGATACAGAGAACAGAGATCTCAGCTGACAACTCTTATAAACGAAAGCTTCCCTTTTAGAGGTTTAGTCCATTATCATCATGGGAGGGAACATGGCAGCACATAGGCAAACATGGTGCTAGAGAAGGAGGTGAGACTTCTACACCTGGATTCACAGGCAGCAGGAAGAGAGAAGCACTGGCCTTGGCTTGGGCTTTTGAAACCTCAAAACTCACCCACAGTGATATACAACCTCTGACAAGGTCACACCTACTCCAACAAGGCCACACCTCCCAAGTGTGCCAATTCCCTATGAACTTAGGGGCCTGGGGAGCGGCCAGCCTTTCTTTCTTTCCTTCCTCCCTCTCTTCCTTCTTCCCTTCCTCTCTCTTTTCCTCCCTCCCTCCCTTCCTCCCTTCCTTCTTTCCTTCATTCCTATTTTGGTTTTTGGACACAGGGTTTCTCCTGGAACTCACTCTGTAGACCAGATTGGGGCCTTGAACTCACAGAGTTCCACCTGCCTTTGCCTCCCAAGTGCTAGGATTAAAGGCATGCACCACCACTGCCCATCACAGCTATTCTTAATTCAAACCACCACACTGCCCTTTTGTTAACATCTGAAAATTTCCCATTATTCAGGACTTCACTTTGCAGTTACTTCTAATTAACCATAGTATTCAAAGGACATATGCAAAATTCCACAAATAAATAATATGTTTTACATTTCATACCTTTCTTCATAGTTTGATGAAATCTGTTATCATTCTACTCTGTCCCACCTGGAACATAAGTCATCCCCTTTTACTGTATCCATACTGTGCATGACCACATTGCTAGTCACCTGGTAGCTCTCCCTTACCAAATCAATTCAGGTTCATAGTGCTTGTGTGTAACTGTTATTTTGAGTAATAAGACTTACAAAGCACAAAAATAATGGTACTGATAGTTGGAGTATGCCAGAGAGCAGCCATAGAGTTCATCCTGCAGTTGAAAAGATTGGGAGTTCCCCACTTGACAATGAAAAAAAACAAAACAACAAAAAACAAACAAGCAAAAACATGCAAGATTAAGATCAGCAGGATAATATGCTTTGTGAGCAAGCACATTTGTGTAACTTGCACCACAGTGTAGTTATAATGTTATGCTTAATTATACTTTTTAATCTTTACTAAGTCTAATTTGTAAATAAACTTTCTCTTGAGTAGGTATAGGAGGGAGATGGTATGTGCAGGATTCCTTACTATTTGGAGTTTCAGATATCTGCTTGGGATTTGAGATAATTCCCTCATGAATAGGAGGACAGTTATGATGCTCCATGGTTTATAAAATATTCATTCTCGTGTATATTTAGGTTGCTTTCAATTTCTCCTTTTTACAGTGAAGCTTACTTTTTATATATTTTTCTATATTTATTACTAATTACTTCTCTAAATTCCCAGAGAAGAATTTATCTAAATATAATAAAGTAAGTGAACCAGAGCGTATTAGAAAAGTAAACAAGAGAACTGTGTTCCTTCCTTTCAGGTCAGTGCTGACAGTTGCTTGTGAACAGACTGAAGTTCTGCTTTTTGACCCTATTTCTTCAAAGCACATAAAAACCCTTTCTGAAGCACATGAAGACTGTGTGAATAATATCAGGTGAGTGTGTTGGCAAATAATGAGCTTTCAGTGTGATTCAGAATCTGGTTTGCAATTTGTGAAAATATGTCATGTATTACCCAGTTGTAAAACTTACCTTATAATTACAAATTTTACTATTAATGATTTTTTATTGGAACTTTTCTGCAATGTATTATTTACTTCTGTGCTATTTTTTTCTTTCCTCTTTGTGTGTCAAGGTCATCATCATGAACCTTAGCCATGTACTATACTACTGCATAACTACTACTGTTAGCATCTCTCACAGTCATACCACACCCACACCCAGAGTATTGAGAGAAAAAAACACATGCAGAGAAAATATCCTTGTAACATCCTTGGATACTAACTCCTTCCTTGTTCAATGATTTGGGAAGTAAATTACGGTGAACAGTTTGGTGGATTAATATGCAGTCCTTAAAATGATGATTGTAAAGACTATATAACCCTATAGACAAGTGTTTGGAATTATGTAAGTTAAAGTCATACAAATTATACAAGTATGAAATGACATAGAAGATTAAAAGATTGTTTTTAACTTCTAGCAGTAACTTAAATTGGGTAATTTACCATTAATTTTCCATTTTCTAAACTATATGAAATGAAATTGTATTTTATTATTGTTACTGTCAATGTTATTTAAAAAACAAACATGAGAATTACTTGTAGTTTAGGTAGCATACTTGTTTGCATGTAACTCCACTGACACATACACACAGAACCAGAGAATCAGTAGTACAAAGTTGCAGTTAGGACCCAGAAATGTCAGCATCTCTGACCAGAGAGGACAGGCCTGAGGTTTGCAGAGGGCTGGAGCTACAGGATCCTGGGCTTTCACTGAAGCACTGATAGCTGGTAGTTATGATCCTGTCAGTTAAGACTAAAAGCACTAAGGAGCTTCGTGTGAAGAAGGATCCCAGAGACATAATCACCACATGAAGCCATTAGCTGAAATGTCTGTCTCAGTAATGAAAGGATGAGAAAAAGAAAAAGCAGTTTTGCTTGTGGGGCTGTAGATTTTAGCTGATAAAGATACAGCCTCATGACAGAAATCAAGTCAAGATACTTGCCAGGTTAGTGGCTGAATGTGTGAGTGAGTGTGTGTATGTGTATGTGTGTGTGTCATTTCCAATAATATCATGAAACTAGAGCCCTGAAATATTATAAAACCTGGTGATAGACTAGGGGCCCAGGTGGCCAATTAGAGGCAATTCTAAAACTCGTAAATAGGAAGGGAAAGAAAAAAGTTAACTTCTTCCACTCAAACTTATAACTAAAATTTCAACATTCATGAAGACATCTAATACTAATACAAAAATTCAAACCATCAGAACAGGGATTTCTCTGGATGAAATTAACTTTATGGAGTAAGTAGCCCAACAAAGACTTTATTTTTAAAAATAAATTTTATTTTTTTTTTTGACTAGGTAATACATGCACGTGATACAAAATTCAAAGGTACAAAAGGGTAAACAGTGAAAAGTAAGTCTATTTCCACCTCTGTCGCCTAGCCACCCAGTTTTCCTCCCCAGAGGCAACCACTATTACTAATTTGCTTTCTTTTCTGAGATATGCATGTGCAAGCATATAAATACATACATACATACACATACCCCACATATACTTTTATATAAATGGTAACATTCTACACATAGTATTACATGCCTGGCCTTTTTAACAGAACATATTTAGAGATCATTTCATATTAGTATCCATGGGATGATCTTATTCTTTTTAACAGCTGCATAGTATTCCATTGATTGGGAGGAAAATTTAAAACATTTTTTAGGATGCTTAAAGAGATAAAGAATACTCTTCATGAAAGAGAATGAAGAGTATAAAAGAGGTGAAAGAAGTGGGTTTATATAGTAAAGAACTGACTAGAACACATGGAAATAAAAAATGTTGCTATATAATTGTATTGTGAAGGGAGAAGGTATAGCTAGGGCTTCAGCTCATTGATAGGGTACTTGCTTAGCATGTGCAAGTCCTGGGTTGGATCCTGCAACATTGCTGGAAAAAACAACACAAAAAGGCTTGACACTTGAAGGGGCATAATTCCAGTTTGGGGCTGGGAATGTAGCTCAGAAGTGAAATGTGTGCTTAGTGTGTGTGAGGTAATCTCTGGCTGTATGTTGAGTTGGAGGCCAGCCTGGGCAACATGAGACCCTGTCTCAAATATAAAATAAATAATAATAATACATTTTAAAATAGATTTAAAATGCAAGTTTAATTAATCAGATGAATTTTACTCTTTTTAATTGTTGATGAATGAATTAGAAGTTAAAAAATACCAAAATATTCACCCAGTACATACAAAAAAAGGATTCAAAGGTATTAAAAGTTATGAGTATATAGGTAAAATACAGGATTAACTCAGAAACTACAATATCTGTAAAGAATTGCAAATTCTTTATGGACATGGTAGTGCACACCTATAGTCCCAGCATTTGGGATAGTATAAGATTCCAAATTTGAGATCAGCTTAGGCCTCAAGTGGAAATTTATTTCAAAATTAATTAATTAATAACTAATTAATTATAAATAATAAGTTGCAGAGATTTCTGGGAAATAAACTTGATAATTGTTCAGACTATTTGGTAATGAGGGAGAGGCAGTTTCTTTAAACTATAAAACAGGTTCAAGGTAAATCTGTATCTTGACAGGTTTGGTGAAATTCTAAATTAAATCTTAAGAAGTGGGTGGGCTGAAGAAATGGCACATATAAAATTAAATATTGAAAGTATTAAAAAGCTGTAAAGTTAGGATCCAATTACATGTGGACATACGATAAGTAAAGCGACAAAGGGTTTCTTGTCAGCTGATATGAGAAGAAAATGGAGTTTATTTGGTAAGACAAGGCCATGTACCACATTATGTCAGGTTAAATAATCCAGACTGAAGAATTTTACAAACAAAACTAAAACTAAGGCAGTAAACTAGTTGTTACAGTGGCAGTGCCTATAGTCTCTGCTGTTTATGAAGCTGAAATGGAGAGATCACTTGCAGCCCAGAGTTCTGAGCAGAAAACCTCATCTACAAACTGATAAACCATGCTAGAGATATAGCCCAGTGTCAGTGCTCACTTAGCACCTAGCATGTGGAAGGCCCTGGGTTTGATTCTCAGCATTGCATTGCATTGCATTGCATTGCATTGCATTGCATTGCATTGCATTGCATTGCATTGCAAAACAACAAAAGAACAAGACAGTTAAAACCTATAGATAAGCACTGTCCAGTAGAAATGTAATGCTAGTCACATGTGTAATTATTAGTAAGTATATTACTAAAGAAAGAAGCAATATTAATTTTAACATATTTAGCCCATTATTTCCAAAATACTATAATTTCAACATATAATCAGTACAAAATTCTTGAGATATTTTACTTCCGGTTTAAAAATTCAGTGTATATTTTATACTTAGAACATACCTCAATTCATACATACATCAAATGTTTGAAAGCCAAATGGGGCTTATAGATACTACATTTGACAATGTGGTTTTATACAGTGGCAACAATAGGGTAATGTGGGAAATTTTTGTAGTGTGGGATGGTACAATATAATAAGACCCACATCATGTTTAGGAAGAAGACAAACATTAAGCAATTACAGACATTTTTAGATTAATGCATAATTAATGTGTGCATAAAAAAACACTTTAACTAAGATCTTATAATTTATAGCTTTCAGACCTCCAGAAAGGGAAGAGACATGGCCAGTTCCATTGAAGTAGGAAAGCTTAAATTTTTTTTTTTTAAATTTAAAGCAAAGGAAGGATAAGAAATAGAAGTTCAAAATATAGATCATTCACAGAAAACATACATATGTCAGTATTAATTAAAAGACAGCCTGGAGCTGGGCCTGGTGGCACTTGGAAGGTAGAAGCAAGAGGATCTCTGTGAGGTCTAGGACAGCCTGATCTATAGGATGAGTTCCAGGACAACCAGGGCTACACAGTGAGATTGTCTCAAAAGCACAGAAAATAACAACAACAAAAATCCAAATGAACAATCTGCAATTTGAATAACAAAATGAATAATTTATACGTATGTATGTATATCCATAAGAAAATAAATGAGAAAGCTAAGATTATCAATATTGGAAAGATGAAAGATCAAAAGCATTAAGGGTAAAATGTAATAGTATTTGTAATAAAGGGAAAACTCAAGATAATCACAAACTTTTATGAACCTTAAACCCAGCCCTGATATCACAAAAGAAAATCAAAGCCCAGTCCATAGTGATGATGAAGTTTTAATAACTATGTACAAAACTAGTCAGTGTAAACCAAGCTGTTGAGGAATCAAACTGCACATTTATACACAGAGAAACCCTGTCTCAAAAAAAACAACACAAAACAAAAGACTGCACATTTAGAGTGTCCTGAATAACATTTCTAATAAAATAAGTGCTGAATGAAGTAATTAAATACATGTATGTACATTCTAATAGAGAGTTTAGGGGCTGGAGAGATGGCTCAGCAGTTAAGAGCCCTGGCTGCTCTTCCAGAGATCCTGAGTTAATTCCCAGCAACCACATGTTGGCTCACAACCATCTGTAATGAGACCTGGTGCCCTTGTCTGGCCTGCAGGGAGACATGCAGACAGAACACTGTATACATAATAAATAAATAAATAAATAAATCTTTAAAACAAATATACAGGGTTTAATGAATAGGAAAGAAAGGAACTCTTGGTCCACATAGGAAGTAGAAGCAGGAACACTGAGAAGTAAACAGGCTTCAGCTTTTACCCTGTAAGATCTGCCAAGTGCTAGTGACCCTGAGCTTTTGTTTTGATAGAAATTAATACAGAGGACAGAAAACCTGATACTAGAAGACTGTAAAATCTGGAACTCAGAAGATCTCACTTTCAGCATAAACTATTCTAAATCTAGACTAGCATCAAGGGAAGGGGTTAACTACAAGCCAGTGCTCATACAAGCTGACCCCACTGTATAACACCTCCAGCCAATGTCAGAATCAAGACTGGAAGGA